AAAAAAAAGTTGCACAATATCACACCTTTTTCCCACTTCTCCCTACAGGATGTTTTATTTTGATTGTGGGCCATATGCAACACAATGTTGCTCCCTTTTTTCGCATTTTAGTGAAATTGCTTGCATGTTTTCAAAGTGATCACTAACGTTAACAGCCTGTATGCACATCGAAACATAGGACCCACTCAGGGCTTTCCTGGAGATGTTTCGTCGTGATCTATTTAATACCTGACCTCAGAATTTCATCAAGAGTGGTCACCGAACCTTTGATCAGGTAACCAGACTACTACAAACCAAGCCAACCATATGATACAAGATATGGGGTGGAGAGAACCTCCCCCCCCCCGGCGGCTTTGTGTTGGTCATCATTGTTTGATCGGAATCTCAGGAATTCTTTACAGACTTTTAGGGGGGGGGTGTTAGGTAACAATAGTCTAGAGTGCCTATAGGGAATGGGCATGTGGGGGGTACCCATCAGCCCCATATCGTGCACGGTATCAAGCCAAGTGAGCACTCCCCTACAGCATGGCTCTTTTCAATATACCCAGCAAGAAATGAGACCGAGGGGTACCCCCCCAACATGTCCAATCCCTATACACATTCCAGATTATTGTTACTTAACACATCCCCCCCAACATGTCTGAAAGGAATTCCCCAGATTAAGCAGGGGGGGGTTCTCTCCGTCTCATACCTTGATGCATATGCTTTTCAACGAATGAGGGGGTGTTTCTGCTCTAGACGGATTCCAGAACTGTGAAATCCCCTCCCCAGAGATGCCGCCTCCATCGGCCAGGAACGAGTACGGGTGATGCAACGTAGGTGCAACGTCTATGTCTGAGGAAACCAAGGCAATCTTCATTGCAGAGGTCGCATCTGTGAATGGTCCCAGCCTTTTGTGAGATATCCCCTTTCCTGCATGATCGCTCGCAGGATGACTTTGTATAATATTGCGATGAGGATTAGGATTCCTCTGGCTTAATCTAGGTTGGAGGGGTCAAGTTTACAACCAACTGGGGTCTCAATTCTAGCCTTAACTTAAGGTTCCTCCTTTTTCCAGAGATCAGCACATGTACCCATTGTTCGGCATGCATAAGGGTTATCCACCACAAACACATGGCAAGGGTCCTCCTCGTTTACTCAGTTTTCTCCAAATGAAGCAATCTACCTTCGGAATTTGCATCTTGGCATGAATAGAAAAAAGCCCTGTTTTAGTTTGTTATTGTTGAGCTTTGAAGACAAATGACACTGCAGTCGATTTGGATGCTTTCGTATTTATTTGAACAGATAAAAATCGGAGAAAACAAGTGCACACGTTTTCCTTAGAGCGCTCTTTAGTTTTCTTTGCCCTCCTATCAACGATACTTAACAACAGATATCCAAATATCAACCTTGCGCAGAAAAAGATGTCACACACACTTTCATAAACAACCAAGTACTCAACCGCCGTAAGCTAACATATTTATTCAATTTGTCTCATGCGATCAGTGGTCATAGAAAGGGTAAACAAATTATGTCAATTATGATATGACAGTAAATCTATTCATCGGTATTCTTTGATGACATTGATGACTCAATCCTTCGGAAACCCACATTTAACACAGCCATCGTCTCAATACAGTCAGTAGTGTTATTTCATTTTGCTTTATTACCACTTTCAAGTGATTCCCATTTCTGCGACTATCTTCTATTTGTCTTCTCATCGACTCATCTCAACTTACGAATTCAGGTTGTGGTTCTTCTTCTCCCGCTGCTCCTTTTCGAAAATCCTCTACTGCGGTTGTATTTTTGAGTAGCAATGAACCAAGGTTACCGACAAGTATTGACTAAGGTACGTCTTCTGCAATGAGAACGCACATTGTGACACTTGACCTTTGAAACAATCCTGAACAGATTTTCACAAAGCGCTGAGACTCTTTGCCTGGCCAGTCTACTTTCAGGGAAGCATCGGGTTCCCTTGCTTCCAAAAAGCGTTGAACATACAATTAGTTTGTCGTGTTTCATCTCGGTTGTGTGAACCTTGTTTCCTCTATTGCATGCTCAAATACAGGACTGACAGGTTGATCCAGGCTACTATCCGACAGAGCTTCGACCGCTGCACGGTCTTGACCATCTCTCAACGTTTCAACACCACCATGGACTCTGACAAGGTCATGGAAGCTATACGCTATACACGTGATGAACAGCCGGTTTTGTTTCAAAGTCTGAATTTGTCGCAAGATTTACTTTATTTATTTGATCAGTTTAGACTTTTGTTCAGGCGCTTCATATCCATTACTGCATGTCCAAAATAAACCATGCCTCAGGTCATTGGAACAGGCGAATACGTAATATGTCCAAAATAGGCCACGTCTCAGGTCATTGGAACGGTCGAATACGTAAGCGTGGAGTCTGCCCTTCGAGAGTGGCCATACGACTCACGCGCGTGCTTCGAATGACCTACTAGTAACTGTTTTGAAATAACAAACTGGTACAATTCCTTGCTCACCGCTGAATCTCGCCCCTCTCCAGTACTTGACGCAGGGTAACTGATTGAGTTTGACGAGCCTTACATTCTTCTCCAGAAGAAGGACGGTGCCCTCACCAGGATGGTCCAGGAGACGGATAAGGCTGAGGCGGCGAAGCTCCTTCAGATCGATGCTGACAAACACGTGGAGAAGGCTGTCAACGACACGGAAGACCTCGATATACCGGGTCTTCCTGAGTAACATGGAAAACGGCCGCGGTGATCAGCCCCAATATGACGACAAATAATTTAAACTTCAATTTGTTTTTGAAGATGCAATTTGAAATTGATACAGCAAACTATATATTGTAGTGACTGATTCATTAATAATTAAACTTCGAAGACGTGTTTTAAGAATGAGATGGACATATCAAATAACATTTGAATTTTGTTTAAACTAACAGTTTAATTATAGCCATGAACATTAGGTCCTACACACATCACCTTTTTAACTACCGATATTAAAACTAGAATAATTAAATGATTCTGGTATGATACGACATTGATAAAATGTTATAAGAATGTCTTCAGCAATGATGTCATGAAATGTTACCTTTGGTTCGTGAAATATTACATCATTAGCATGATTCAGGATCAGAAAGCTAGCGTAAACGATGTTTTGAAAATGACAAATATACTCAAATACTTTTATCTAATAATTCATTTTGAAACATTGAGTTAGAGATGTTTAATAAACATGTTTTACAACTTACCGAAACGTCTTTACCCAAGCATTAAAATTTGTCAAGTTATTTTTGTAATATTGACATCTACACAACATGGTAATTACACTGTTACAGCTTTTTACAAGCGCAGTTTGTTATAATGATTTGTAGACCTACATTTAAGTTCCAATATGATAATGCTAAAGTGACGTTTACAAATATCAAGGCAATTTTGAACTGTTAATTTTGTAAGTGTGTACTTTGTGTGGGATGATTATTTTTAATCATACATGAATTTTTGCCATACCCACTGATACAATGTGATTGGAACTGGCCACCGGACCCTGTAACAAGTTCGGTGGCAAACTGTAAGACGTCTAGTTGTGTGTTTGAATCCCACCCAAGTAAGCCGGTGCCCTTTTGCAAGTTCTCTGGTAACACCAAGCCTTAAACAGTGTAATAAATAACGTTGGTGTGGGTAAACCAATAACTTAAAGTATACAGTGTTGATAGATAATATGTATGTTGGGT